TGGAGCTATTGTGCTTACTGCTTGAATCATTTAATTGAGCATTATTTTAAATTAAGCCATTTTTTTCTCCACTTTTTTATTTTCTTGCCAGGATTACAAACCCAAGAGCAAGGCACTATGAGTAAGATAATAATTATTTGTATCTGATGTTTTCAGTATAGATGTATACAGAATACTTTTTGAATTTGTTTTTTATTATAGAAAACTTTCAAATATACACAAAATTGAAATGTATCCTCACCCAGATTCCATAACTGTCAACATTTTGTTGAACTTTCTTTATCTGCCTATACTTTTTTTCTTAGAGTACTTTAAAACAAATTCATGAAATATTTCAAATTCATGAAATATTTCTAACAACAAAGACTTTATCACACCTAACAAAATTAATATCACCCAATATTTAGTCTGTGTTTAAAATTTCCAGCTTGTCTAAAAAGTGCCTTATTACAGTTGATTCAAATAAGGATCCAAATCGCACATTCCATTTACTTAATATATCCCTGAGGTCTATCTTTTAAAGAGCTCCTCTCTCCACTCCCCAGTCCCAAGATTCTCTTTTCCATGCTGTGTTCACATTCTGCATTTAACTTATTTTATCCTTTTACTTATATCTCTGTACTACATACACTCTTTTAAAAAAATTATATTTGATCAATTATGCTATTACAGTTGTCCCAATGTTTTCCCTTTTATGCTTCTCCACTCAGTCCCTCCATCAGGCAAACCCCCCACCATTGTCCATATCCATGGGTCATGCATGTGAGTTCTTTGTCTACTCCATTTCCTATGCTGTACTTTATATCCCCATGACTGTTCTGTAACTACCAATTTGTACTTCATCCCTTCATCTTTTTCACCCATCTTCCCAGCCCTCCTATTTGGCATCCATCAAAATATCAAAATTTTCTTTGTATCTATGATTCTGTTTCTGTTCTGCTTGTTTATTTTGTTTTTAAGATTCATTTGTTGATAGATATGTATTTGTTGTCATTTTATTGTTCATATTTTTGATTTTCTTAAAGAAGAACCTTTAACATTTTATATAATGCTGGTTTGGTGGTGATTTACTCCTTTAGCTTTTTCTTGTCTTGGAAGCTCTTTATCTGTTTTTTTTATTCTAAATGATAGCTTTGCTGGGTAGAGTAATATTGGTTGTAAGTTCTTACTTTTCATCTCTTTGACTTGTTTGGCAAACTCTTCTAGCCTGCAAAGTTTCTTTTGAGAAATCAGCTAGCTGACAGTCTTATGGGAACTCCCCTTTAGCTAACTAACTGCTTTTCTCTTGCTGCTTTTAAGATTCTCTCTTTATCTTTAAACTTTGGCATTTTAATTATGATTTGTTTTGGAATGGGCCTTCTGCATCCATTTTGGTTGAGATTATGTGCTTCCTGGACTTGTATGCCTTTTTCCTTTACCAAGTTAGGGAAGTTTTCTGTCATTATTTTTTCAAATAGGTTTCCAATTTCTTTCTCTCTCTTCTCCTTCCAGCATGCCCATAATGCAAATGTTGGTATGCTTAAAGTTGTCCTAGAGGCTCCTTACATTGTCCTAATTTTTTATGGGTTTTTTTCTTCTTATTGTTATAGTTTGGGTGGTTTTGGCTTCCTTATATTCCAAATTGCTGGTTTGATTTTTGGCTTCATCCACTCTATTGTTGATTCCCTGTAAACTGTTCTTTGTTTAGTTAGTGTATCCTTCATTTCTGATGACTTCTTTTTTACAGATTCCATGCCCTTTTTTTTATGCTGTTGAAGTTCTCACTAAGTTCACTGAGCCTCTTTATAACCAGTGTTTTGAACTCTGCATCTAGCAGCTTGTCTCCATTTATTTCTTTTTTGGGGGAGTTTTATCTTTCATTTGGGTCATCTTTCTTTGACTCCATGTTTTGGCAGCCTCTCTGTGTTTGTTTCTCTGTATTAGGTAGAGTTGTACATCCCCGAGCCCTGGTAGAGCGGTCTAATGTAGTAGGTGTCCTGTAGGGTCCAGTGGCACAGCTCCCCTATTACCCAAGCTGAGTGCTTAAGGTATGTCCACTGTGTGGGCTGTGTATGCTGTCCTGTTATAATGGAGCCTTAGTTGCTGTTGACACATTCAAGGTCAGCTGCTGCCTGTGATGTGTCTGAGGTCACACAGCATAAGGTACAAAATGATCTGCAGATGGCTGCTACATATATTGGGCTTGGAGCTGTCCAGGAGAGGCCAAGCTGTGAACCAAGGCCAAAGCTGGCTGCTGCTAGTGCTGGACCTGGGGCAACTTAGTGACAGGTAGGAAGGTACAGGGGCTTGCTGAAGCCAGATGCTGCTTATTCAAGAGAATTTAAGAAAATCTGAAGCATGGGCCAAGACAAGCCATTCATATGGAAAAGCCACTGGAAACAGCTTGTGTGGGCCAGCAAGTTGGGTGGGACAGAGCCTCAGGGAATCACTAGGGTGGGGCAAACAGCGGGGGCCAGTTTGATTGAGCCTCAGATACGGTGCCCACCTACTGGCTCTGGTTCTGTGCGGGCAGGGCTCAGAAAAGGAACAGTGGCCTCTGCCCACCTTTCTGTCTGGGAAAGCTGCTCCCAGCTCTCACCCTGGTTATGCCACGTATTTCTATAAAAGTGTGATGGTTAGATCTAGATGATTGATTCCTTTTGGCAAGAATACTTCATGAGTGGTGGTGGGTACTTCCTTTTTATTAGTCACATCACAAAGCACAAAATACCTAGTTGTCCCCTCTCAGTGACATTAGGGTTAATTGGAGGTTCAGATGTCAACCTTATTTATATAATACTAAGTTTTCTTTTCTTTTTTTTTTTAAGATTTTATTTATTTATATTTAGAGAGGAAGGAAAGGAGAGAAGGAGAGAAACATCAATGTATGGTTGCCTCTCATGAGTCCCCTGCCAGGAACTGGCCTGCAACCCAGGCATGTGCCCTGACTGGGAATCGAACCACAATCGTGTGGTTCACAGGCCTGCACTCAATCCACTGAGCTATGCCAGCCAGAGCTATAAGTTTTCTTTTCATCTTTCACTTAATAGCTTTAATATCTATTGAATATTGATACTTAGCTTTTTTAGGGGTTTCAAATTAGTGATTTTCTAACCATATTTCTTCTGTCTTAATTAGGCTTTATAATAAATACTTGAGGTTTTCAGCTATTATTTTCTGAAAGTTTGTTCAAGGAAAGCTGGAGAAATGCTTAATTTTTAAAAACACTTTATCATATGTTCACAAAAATAAGTTGGTGTGTCAGCAACCTCCAAAGGTGACCAATGAGACTTTTTGGGTTGTAATTGTTTCTAACTAACTATCTTTAGGAACTCATGGATGGTTATGTATTTGATGTATGTTAGTCAGTTACAACTATTGTTCTCACTTGATGCTCAAATTATCCAAGTTTGTCTTGGGTAGATGGGGAGGGGCTCCATCTAGTTGATACCTATATCATTTTTTTTTTTTACAGAACTTGAATAGTCTGTGAGAGCTTCCATACCTTCTATACCACACATGCCGGTATCATCTCGTATATGTTCTGCTCAGACCTGGCATGAGAATGTCTGTTTGTAGTACAGTTCCCCAAATTTTTGGTCTCAAGACCCTTTTACCCTCTGAAAAATTATTGAAGAATCCAAAGAGCTTTTGTTTATGGTAGTTATAGCTGCTTAATTTCTGTATCAGAAATTAAAACAGAAAAATTATGTATTGTTAGTTAATTTAAAAATAACAATGACAAAACCATTATGTGTTAATACATTTTTTAAATGAAAAATAACCTTCAAAACATAATGTAGTTAGAAGCATGACATTGTTTACATTTTTATAAATCTTGTCTTTATAAGAGAAAAACTGCTAGATGTTCAGATCTGTTTTTACATTTAATCTGTTGCAATACATAGTTTTTGTTGAAGTAGTTAAGAAAATCTGGCTTCACATAGTTATGTAGTTGGACAAGGGATGGGCATTTTAACAACCTTTTCAAGTAATTATGGGTATTCTTTGATGCTACTCCAAAACTTGACAGGTGATAGTTTCTTAAAAGTTGGTTGCAATGAAGAATCTGAAACTACATCAGTGAAGTTTTTGTACTCTGTTAAACTAAATCCATTATCTCTCTTGCACTTTGGACCATGTATGGACATACAATTTTGCAACACATGAATTTGTCATTTGGAAAATACCAGTTCTTTGAGTTATACAAATCTTGCAAATGTTGACACATTTGACTATATGGTATCAAAAAGAAATCACATTTTTAAACATCACTGTTGATATCATCAGAAAAAATCTTAAGTATTGACAAGCTGTCAACCTTAGGGTATCGAACAAAATTTTCTAAAATCTACTTTTTGCTTTAATGCTTGTACTTCAACAAATACTGAAGGTTGTTTTCTGTGTGGTGACAGCTGACTTTATTAATTTTTGAGAAAATAGCTGTCAGATACTCATGTCTGAATAACTAGAATTTGGCTGCCAGTTGTTCTTTAAAGTAAAAATGGTATTCCATGAAAAATGTACAGCTTGTTTGCAACTCAGTTGCACAAATACTTTTCCTGGAGACAGCCATCCTGTGTTGGTGCACAGCAGAAGTGTATTTCCTGTGCTTCCCATTTCTTCACCTAGAATATCAAAGACGTGTACCAGATGTCAACATTTAATAAAATAATTTTTACTACTTCATCAAGGATATTCTTAAGTAGAAATGACACTTCCCCCTATTGTCAATATGTGTGATGAGGACTACAGTGGGTACTCAGCTGGCTTGGTGCCACTACCTTGAGTGGGTTCAGGCACCAGAAATGTTGCCCCTACTGCTTTTGTATCACCAATGTGACTATTAACGTAGTGAAAAGAGGAAATAAATAATGTTGCTTGAGCCCACAGACCATATTTGACAACTGCTGCTCTAGTGTTTCCCCATTATGTCAGCCACTGATTTTTAAATTTTTTTGTATTATTTTCATTTATATTAATGAGACATTAATTACTATTTTTAAGGCTTTTTTTTTTTACCTTGTTTGAAACTAGCCCACACAGTACAGAACTGTGAGGCCAACTTCAGTGTTACTTTCCCTTCTTTTACAACCACCAAGACCGGTTGGTGTTCAGATCTGATGGGAAAGAGAACTGGAGAGTTATTTTTAAGGCTTTTTAAAACCACAAATGCATGTTTAGTTTATCCATATTTTAAATCTGCGGAGACGAGCATATGTTTCCCTTTAGTTTTATTAATATGATTAATTATATTAATGGATTTCCTAATATTGCATCCCTTTCACATTTCTGGAATAAGCACTGCTTGATTATGGTAGATTATTGGATTCTGTTTACTAATATTTAAAATTTGTTTGCATTATTATTTATAAGTGAGATCAGTTTATAATTTTGTTTTATTAAGCAATATTTGGTTTCAGAATCAATGTTAAATTTGCTTTATAAAAATGATTTAAATTTTTTTTCTATCCTCTGAAATAGTTGAAGTAGCATTTGAATCATCTGGTCGTTAAAGATTTGATAGATTTCTTTGTGAAACCATCTGACTCTGGTGTTTTTCTGTCAGGGAAACTCTTATGACTTCATGTATTTTATTTTACAAAATTCATTTGTTTAGAGTTTTTATCTCTATTAGTATCAGTTTTGGTATATTTACCTAGAGTGCTATTTATTTCATCTAGGTTTTTTGAAATAAAATTTCCTCTTTGAACTGTACAAAGTCATCTCATGATTTAAAAAAATTTCCTGTTTGAGCTTGTTTCTTTTGTTTGTGTACTTGTGCTTTCTCCCAATCCTCTAAAAATCAGGGTAACTATTTATATTTTGTTGATTCATTTTCTTTAAAAATATTTATTTATTTTTAGAGACAAGGGGAGGGAGGGAGAAAGAGAAGGAGGGAAACATCAATGTGTGGCTGCCTCTTGCATGCCCTGAACTGGGAACCTGGCTTGCAGCCCACGCATGTGCCCTGACTGGGAATCAAACCAGTGATCCTTTGGTTCTCAGGCCAGCACTCAATCTACTGAGCCACACCAGCCAGGGCTGATTAATTTTCAAAGAACCAGCTTTTTTGTTTTACATATTTTTTTTAACTCAGCAATTTCTCTGTTATTTTTTACAAATTGTAATATAATGGACATATAACAATGTATTAGTTCTAGATGTACAACATGATTTGATATATGTACCTATATTGCAAAATGATCACCACGATAAATCTAATTAACATTCATCACTTTACATAGTTACAAAGTTCTTCTTATGAGAACTTTTAAGATCTATTCTCGTAGCAACTTTCAAATATACAATACACTATTTATACAATATATATTCAATATAGTATTATTTTATTTTTATGTACTTTATATATGTATATCCCTGCTCCTGGCAGCCATTAGTCTGTTCTCTGCATCTGGGAGCTCAGTTATTCAAATAAAAATGTTTCAAAGATTGTACATACAAGTCAGATCATCTAGTATTTGCCTTTGTCTGACTTTTTTTACTTAGCATAATGCCTTCAAGGTCTATTCATGTTGACACAAATGGCAGGATTTTCTTCTTTTTTTATAGCTGAATGATATTCTCTTGTGTATAGATCACATTTTTTTCATCCATTCACCTATCAGTAGATATGTAGGTTGTTTCCAAATTTTGGCTATTGTGAATAATGCTGCAAGGAATGTGGGGGTGTGTATCTTTGTGAGACAGTGTTTTCACCTCCTTCAGATAAACATCAAAAAATTTTTGGATCACCTGGCTGGTGTAGCTCAGTGGATTGAGCGTGGGCCTGCGAACCAGACAATTGCGGTTCGATTCCCAGTCAGGGCACATACTGGGGTTGCTGGCCAGTTCTCTGCAGGCCTGTTCCCAGCAGGGAACGCGCGAAAGGCAACTATACATTGATGTTTCTCTCCCTGTCTCCTTCCCCCCTTCCCCTCTAAAGATAAATAAATAAAATCTTAAAAAAAAATTTAAAAAAATTTCTGGATCGTATAGTGGTTTTATTTTTAACTTTTTGAGGAATCTATATTCTCTTCTAGTGGAGTAAAATAGTGGCCACACAAATTTACATTCCCATTAAGAATGCAGGAGGGTTCCCTTTTCTCCACATCCTTAGCAATACTTAACTTTTGTTTTTGACGAGCCATTTTAACAGGACTGAGGTGGTATTTCCTTGTAGTTTTGATTTGCATTTGCCTGATGCTTAGTGATGTTGAACACCTTTTCATGTACTTGTTGGTCATTGTACGCCTTTTTGGGAAGAATGTCTAGATTCTCTACCCATTCTTAAATCAAAAGTGTGTGTGTGTGTGTGTGTGTGTGTGTGTGTGTGTACATATATACATACACACTCATTTTTAAATCATATATTTGTTATTGAGTTGTATAACTTCTTTATATATTTTGGTTATTAACCCTTTATCAGGTATGATTTGCAAATACTTTCTCCTATTCAGTAGGTTGTCTTTTCATTTTGTTGATGGTTTTCTTTGCTATACAGAAGCTTTTTAGTTTGAGGTAGTCCCATTTGTTTATTTTTGCTTTTCTTTGCTTTTGGTGTCAAATCCAAAAAATCGTCACCAAGACAGATGTTAAGGAGCTTTTAGTCTATGTTTTCTTCTAGAAGTTTTGTGGTTTCAGATCTTATGTTAAAATTGTTGATCCATTTTGGGTTGGTTTTTTTAATTAAGATTTTATTTATTCTTGGAGAAAGGGGAGAGGAAGGAGAAAGAGGGAGAGAAACATCAACTGGTTGTCTCTTGCATGCCCCCAACTGGTGAAGTAGCCAGCAACCCAGGCCTGTGACCTGACCAGGAACTGAACGTGCAAACCTCTCGTTTGCAGGCCAGCACTCAACCCACCGAATCACACCAACCAAGGCAATTTGGGGTTGATTTTTATGTGTTCTGTAAGACAGTTGGCCAGTTTCATTCTTCTGCATATGGCTGTCTAATTTTCCCACCACCATTTATTAAAGAGACTGTCCTTTCCTCATTGTATGATCTTGGCTCTGTGTCACAGTTTTTTTTTTGAAAATTTTATTCATTGATTTTAGAGAGAGAAGAAGGAGAGAGAGAAACAGATTTATTGTTCCACTTATTTATGCATTCATTGGTTGCTTCTTGTATGTGGCTTGACTGGGGATTGAACCCGTGTACTTGGTGTAGCAGGTTGATGTTCTATCTACTTGTTGCTCATGTTGCCTGGCTGTTACTGGTAGCTCCTGCCCTTCTTTGTTCCTAGCCATCTCTAGACATCTCAGCTTTGCTGGTCTCTGGGTGGGGTAAAACTGAAGTGGATTGCTCACCCTGCTGTCCTTTTATTATTACGGAGAACTCTTCTGGGCTGGGGAGTTCCCTTTTAGGGGATGGGATGATGCAGGCAAAATGAAACTTTCTCCTACACTTTTTGTGTGGTTATTCTCAGGGTTTTGGTTCCATTATGTTGTTTGAAGCTTCTTAAGTGGACTCCTGAGCAATCCCAAAGCTATTTTCATTTGCAGATAGGTGTCTAATTGTTGTTCTTTGTGTGAGACCGAAGCTGGAGTCTCTTGCCTTCTTGATGATATCACTCTTGTTCAGCCCTTACAAAATTTCACTGTAATCCTGCAACCTTGTTATAATCACTTCTTAGTTACAGGAGTTTTGTCAATTTTTTTTCCATTTTCTACATAGACCATCATGGTAACTGCAAACAAAGACAGCTTTATTTCTTCCTTCCCAACATATATATCTTTTATCTCCTTTTCTTGTCTTATTAGATTACCTAGGATTTCCAGCATAATGTTGAAAAGCAGTGATGAGAAGGGACATTCCTGAGAACAAGTGGGCAGTGACCAGAGGGGAGAGGGAAGGGAATTTAAGGGGGAAAAAGGAGAGGGATTTTGAGGAACAAGTATGAAAGACACAGGGATGAGGACTAGGAGGGGAGGAAATGGGAGGGAGGTGGGGAGCATTGGGCGGGGGTGGGGGCTGGGATGGGAGAAATACACAAAAAAATGTACTTGAAAAATAACTAAATAAAATTAAAAAAAAAAAAAAAGAAGGGACATTCTTGCCTTGTACCTGGTCTTAGTACCTGGAAAGCTTCGAGTTTCTAACCATTCAGTATGATGCTAACTTTAGTTTTCTTTGTAGATATTCTTTGTCAAGTTGAGGAGGTTCCCATCTATTCTTTGTTTGCTGAGTTTTTATCATGAGTGGTATTGGGTTTTGTTAAATGCTTCTTCTACATCTATTGATATAATCATGTGATTTTTCTACTTAAGCCTGTTGATGTTATGGATTACAGTAATAGATTTTCAAATGTTCAACCAGCTTCCCATACCTGGGATAAATGCCATTTAATTGTAGTGTATAATTATTTTTATGCATTAATAGGTTTATTTATTTATTTATTTATTTATTTATTTATTTTTAAATTTTATTTATTTATCTTTAGAGGGGAAGGAGAGAGGGAGAGAAACATCAATGTATGGTTGCCTCTACTGCATCCCCTTCAGGGAACTGGCCTGCAGGGAACCTGACAGCAACCCAGGCATGTGCCCTGACTGGGAATTGAACCGCGATCCTCTGGTTCACAGGCCCATGCTCAATCCACTGAGCTACACCAGCCAGGGCTATTTATTTTTTTTAAAGATTTTATTTATTTATTTTTAGACAGAGGGGAAGGGAGGGAGAAAGAGAGGGAGAGAAACATCAGTGTGTGATTGCTTCTTGCACTCCTCACACTGGGGAACCTGGCCTGCAACCTAGGCATGTGCCCTGACTGGGAATCGAACCAGTGACTCTCTGCTTCACAGTCCAGTGCTCAATCCATTGAGCCACACCAGCCAGGGCTAATGAGTTTATTTTGATATATTTTGTTGAGGATTTTTGCATCTGTGTTCATGAGCAATATTGTTCTGTACTTTTGCTTGTAAAAGCATTGTCTGGTTTTGGAAATAGGATAATGCTGGCCTCATAGAATTCACAAGTGAACCCACTTGGGCTGAATGCTTTACTACTTAGAAGGTTATTAATTATTGACTCAAATTTCTTTAATAAATATAGGCCTATTCCAATTATCTATGTATTTCCTTTTTGTGAAATTTGGCAAATTGTGTCTTCCAAGGAATTGGTTCATTTTATCTAGGTTATTAAATTTGTGGGCATGGAGTTCATAATATTTCTTTATTATCCTTTTAATGTCTGTAGGATCTGTAGTAATTTACCCTCTTTCATTTTTGGTATTAGTAATTTAAGTCTTCTCTCTTTTTCTTAGCCTGGATAGAGGCTTACTGATTTTACTGATTTTTTTCAGAGAACTAGGTTTTGATTTTATTGATTTTTTTCTATTGATTTCCTTTTTCAGTCACATTGATTTCTACACTAATTCTTATTAGATAGTTTTTTCTTACTCTGGATTTTATTTGCTCTTCTTTTTCTAGTTCTCTAAGGTAGAAGCTTAGATTATTGATTTTAGTTCTTTCTCTTTTCTAAAATATGCATTCATGGCTATAGATTTCCCTGTAAAGCACAACTTTTGCTGCATTCCATGAGTTTTCATGTTTTATTTTTATTTTAATGTAATTCAAAATTTTAAAAATTCTTTTGAGTTTTTTTTGACTCACTTGTTGTTTAGAAGTATATTGTTTAACCTCCATATATTTTGGGATGTTCCAGCTATCTTTCTGTTATTGACTTATAGTTTAATACCATGTGGTCTCAGAGGAGAGATTGTATGTCTCTTCTTATAAATTTATTAAAATTTGTTTTATGACCCACAATGTGATCTATCTGAGTGGATGTTCCACATGAGCTTGAGAAGAATGTGTAATTTGCTTTTGGATAAAATCATTTATAGGTGTTAATTATATCAACTTGATTGATGGTGTTATTGAATTAAATTATGTCTTTACTGATTTTCTGCCTCTGGATCTTCCCATTTCTGATAGAAGGATGTCGTAAAATAATAGAAAAAATATATGTTGGTCTCTGTCCCAGGTTCCTGGCATAGTGCTCCTAAACCCCTTGTAATTTCCCAAGTGACAAGAACACTAGGAACAACTTTTATTTTGTTATTGTAATATTCTAATATCCTAAGAACACTAGGAGCATCTTTGGTTCCAGGTCCTGACACAACTTCTAAATCCCTTGGAAGTTGCTGGGTGATAGGAAGGTATTATACCTTTCCATTTATTTGGGTCTTTTAAAAATGTCTTTAGCCATATGTTGAAATATTTTTCATAAAAGTCTTTTCTACTTTTGTTAGAATTGCTCCTAGAGACGTTATAGTTTTTCATGCTGTGTAAAGTTTTATGTAATTTCTTATTACTGAATTATGAAAATACTATTGATTTTATGTTATCCTGACATCTAGAAAATTGATTGAGCTTTCTTATTTTTCTAAGCTTACCTGTTTATACTATTGTACTTTGTATATTGATAGTTATGTGGTATCCGATAAAAAATTTCGTCTCTTTATTTAATTTTTTTGCCTTGTTACACTAACTTTTCTAGAATAATGACAGCAACAAATTGTATTGTGCTGTGCCTGGCTTTAGTGCATCAAATATTTTATAAGTATTATGTCTGTCACAGGGTTTTTTTGTTGTTGTTAGATAACTATAATGTTTTAGTATGCTAACTTTTAATAAAAATATGAATAATTTAAACAATCTCACTCTCTTGTCTTCTAGCTTATATGGTGTTTCAACAAGATGGCTGTTATGATTCTTATATTAATTTTTCTCTAGGAATGAGTCCTCTTCCCTCTTTGCTGATTTTAAGATTTTCTCTTTGATTTGTGTGTTCAGAAATTGAGTATAATGTATCTCTCTCTGGATTGAGTGTTTATCTTTGTTGGTGGTTTGGATCTGTAGTTTGATGCATGCTATTAATTCTGGAAATTTTTAGTCATTATCCCTTCAGATATTTATTCTATCCCATTCTCTGTCTTTCCCTTTTGTAATTCTAATTGCACATTTGTTAGATCATTTGATTTTGTCTTGCAGTTCTGTTTTTATTTTTTACTCTCTTTGTCCTTCAGTTTGGATATTTTCATGTAACCGGTTTTTTCCTTAGCTCTGTTAAGGTTGCTGATGAGGCTGTTGATGACTATCTTGACCTCTATTACTGCTTTTCACTTCTAGCATCTTCATTTAATTTTTTTCTTACAGTTTCAATCTCTCTGCTGAAATTATTCATCTGACAATGAGTGATGTCCATTTCTATTAAAGGCTTTGGCATATTTTAATAATTATTTTAAATTCCCTGTTTGATAGGGAACTTAACATCTGTGTTGTATATGAGTCTGGTTTTGTTGATTTGTTGATTATTTTGTCTCGGCATTATGGAGTGTTTTCCTTTTTTTTTTTTTTCCTGCACACCACATTCCCAGTGATTTTTTTCTTTTATAGGGGAGATAGAGAAGAGGAATCTGGCAGCGCTCCACGGCCTTCCTGCAGCAGCTGTTCTTCCCCTCTCCTAAGCCTGTACCATTAAGGATGCTTTCTCAGGACTTTTGCCATCGTTTTTGGTGAGTACTCATTGGAATCTAGGGCGCAAAGCCTCTGAATGTTGTGAACTCTCCTTATACCTGAAACCTCAGGGTCCTGTGCTGTTACCAGCCAATACTCAGCCCCTACCAATTTGTTAACAATTCTAGGTGAATGCTTCTTACTGGTGTTCAACTGCCCCAAGTAAACAAATTCTTGTATTCTGTCTCCCTGACGGCATTGTTTCTCCTCAGATTTTGGTTCAGTTGGCACTTTCTCAACTTCAACTCTCTGATGGATCCAGGAAAAGTTGTTAACTTGCAGATTGTTCAACTTTTTTTTCATTGTAAGGGTGGCAGTCACATTCTTTCTAGCTTTTTTCTAGCTCTCTGTACCCAAGTAGAAACCAGGAACCTGGTCCTCATTTTTAACCTCTAATATCTGTACTGGTAGGTTGACTATTTGTTCTGATTTAGATCAGTATAATTATTAATAGCATCCTCTTTACACTCAAGAGTTTCTTTATTTAAATGATAAATTGTATGATTACCCTGTCCTTGAAAATATTACATAATTAAGTATCATTAGGAGCATATGTTAAGTTTGGATGGATTTGTTTACTCTAGATAAAAATATTGAAGATTATTTTAGTGATATTCCAAAGGACATGGGGAGGAAATGTGTAAATGAAAGACACATCAACTAAATCTAACGCGTAGGCTTTGTTTCCATCATGTTTTAATCCAAAAGGATTTTTTTTAGACAATCAAAGACATATGAACATGGGTTAGGTTTTAGAAGATATTAAAGAATTATTGTTATTTTGTTCACTATTGCAATGATATTATAGTTATTTTTATAAGTTTTTTAAAAATCTTATTTATTGGATAAATACTTGTTTGGATGTAAAATGGCATGACAATGGGAATTTACTTAAAAATACAAAAAATGTGGAGAGAGAAATGTGATAGATAAAAAGAAGAATAAAATGTTGATAATTACTGAAGCTAGGTGATAGCTAAATGCAGGTTTATTGTTTTATTTTCTTACCTTTATTGTACTTTTGTCAGTTTCCTTAGTAAAAACTTGTTTACTAAGGTAGAAAAGTATATATTCAGGAACTTTTTTCTTTTTTTAAAAAGGTAATTATCCTACGATTTAAACTGTTAAAGAGGATTTTTTTTCTAGTGGCAGATCAGAGGCCATGCCTCAAAGTTTATTTGAAAACGTTCTGTGCTTCAGTGATGATTCAGCAAACCCAATAATCTGTGATATAATAGGTACAAGGAGAAAAAACAGGTGAAATGCCATAGTTTCAGGGCAGTTCAGCACTGCAGCCCTACTCTGGTCCAGGAAGGGGGAATGAACCTTGCAGATGTCTTTTATTCCTGACTTAACTTAGGTCTATTTTGTAAAACTTATCTTAGAGGGGATGCACTCTCCTTTTCTTCCCTTTTATTCAGGTTCTCATTGTCTCTCCATTGTCCTTTGTTTATAATTTAGAGAGAAAAATGCCTTGGGAAGAGGAGTAACAAGGCTGTTAACTCCATGGGGGCAAGGACTGTTCACTGTTTTGAACAGTGAATGTACACCTAGTACCATTACTGGCACATGAAAGACATTAAATAAATATTGGATGAAGAAATGAATAAATTCACATTTGCTGCTTGCCACATAGAAGGAACCTCATAAATACTGTATTTGTTGAATTGAGTTGTGAGTGACAGAATTCAAAAGAGAATTTTAGAGTTTTTGTCCATTTAGCGCCAGAGCTGTCCAGCTGAGCAGAATCAGACAAGGAGACATCTATGAACAGGCAAAGGAAGCCAAAATGAAATGCAGCTTCATTTAAAATTAAAAGACCAATATACAGTTACATAAATGCCATTTTCCTTAACATATGTTCATGAACATGATTAGAAAAGGACAGTCATTCTCTTCTCCCCTGTGAAAGTCCTCATGCTATAGTTCTGCAAAGAATTCAGAAGACTTTGTAATATCCTGTCCACAAAAAGTTGGAATGACAGGTACCTTTAAATAAACAGCCGCAATTAATCATAGTGCTGCTTGTTTTGATAAGCATGCAAGAGTGACAAGTTAATAATAAACCTAGCTCATACAGGAAGGGTGGCTAAGGAGGTGCTGTTGGTTCATTTACATCTTTGGATGGCACTGAAGATTTAATAATCTCCCTGCCTCATACATCAAACTAATACTCCTGAGGCAGAAAAGCAAACCATTTCAAACTGTTAATCTGAGAAGCAATAAGATCCTGTCTTAGGTCACAAATAAATTGAGTTGTTGGACACCTAGAGTGTGTGATTTATTCAGATTCCAAAGCCACTCAGGACCCCTGGGAACCTTGGCTGCAAAACCAGGCAAGCTGGGAGTGCCATGGGAATTGCCGATCTAATCAGACAGTCTAGACTGAGGGCAGGAACTGATTTTACCTTAGACCTCCACAGTAACTTATTGAACCTTTTATGTCAACTACAAATAGATTATAGAATATAGACATATGTGAATTTGAAATTCACTTTGAAATGATTGCTTTTAGTTGGAATTGTAACCATCTTTCTGCTTAGGTAGTATTTCTTAAAATATCAAAAGCTGTTTTGAAGTTTTTACTTTGTAAGTGTAGGATTTTCTTTTCTTTTCACACTGTACAACCCCCTTCACTGCTCACAGCCCACAGATGAGGAGGCTGGGCAATGGTTCAAGGTTGTAATTTACTCTGACGTGGGTACACTATGAGAGGCCCACAGGTAAAGGCCCAGTAAGTGTAGGATTTTAACCTGGTAGAGAAACTGGGATACAGAAAGGGGAACTAACTCTTCGTGGCATGATGAGCCGTTTGTGAATCCTGAACAATTTCTAGATTTCCATGTTTTCATTTCTGAAGCAGCTAAGCTATAGGGTATATTGAATTTATTAATTTGGAAAAATATCCTCTTATTGATACTAATATATTAAATAACATATTCCTGGTTTAAAGAATGGGCCATAGCAGTCTTGGAGAAAGAAGGAAGTAGAGTTATGTGCATTAGCAGTATGTCTATGAGCATTCATTGCTCCAGCTCGTCATGAAATAATCTTTATAAAGGAAATAGATTATAAAATATGATTTCTGCTTATTTTTACTAATGCAACTTGTAATTTCAACATATCATTTGTGATATTTAATCATTGTTATAGGAAATGGAAAAAACAGCCCAAGTTGGTGCCATATTCTCGCCCTCCTCTCCCTCCCTCTAGCCCTGGGGCTCTAAATCACAGCTGTAAATTAGAGTTGCATTTTGTCATGTCTTCCAAGGGCACACTGACTGGTGTAGAATGAGCTTCAGACTATTAATAGCACATCTATTAACTCAGCAGTTAAGAAAACACATACCATTCCAGGTATACCTGGGTTCCTTCTCTCTGAGAAAGGCTAGATTCTCTTGTTCGGGAGTTCAGGTTGGTCCAGGTGGAGAAGCCTTGGAAAAACCTTTCTCCTTCAGTAATTTACTTAGCAAACATTCATCGCCGTAGGTCCCGGGGATAAGTCCATATAAAGGACGGGTGCAAAGGGCACTTTGTTGGTTTCCTGTTGCCACTGCAAGAAATTACCACAAACTTAGTGGTTTAAACACAATACAAATTTATTATCTTACTGTTCTGAAGGTCAGAAGTCTCAAGTCAAGGTACTGGCCAGTGTATGTTCCTTTTGGAGACTCTAGGGGAAATCTGTTTCCTTGCCTTTTCCAGCTTCTAGGGGCCACCTTTATTCCTTGGTTCATGGCCCCATCCTTAAATTACTTCAGACTCTTGCTTCTGTTGTCACCTCTCCCACTACTCAACATGATCTCTTACCTCCCTCTTGTGATTACAAGGAGGATTCTTATGATTACACTGAGCCCACCTGGATCATCCAGGAAAACCTCCCCACCTCAAAACCTTTAATTTAATCACAACTGTAAAGCCTTATTTTCCATATGAGGTAACACAGGTTCCCACAAGTAGGAAGTGGACATTTTTGAGGGGGCCATCATTTAAAATAGGACAGAATTTGACATTGGACAGCTCTGTCACTCTCTACTTAATATGATTATTAAGTAAGTTTCTTAAACTTTCTTAATCTCAATCTTCTTATCTGGGAAATGGAGTAAATAATAGCCATCTCATAGGTTTCTGTGAAGATTAAATGCCTGAAAATAATAAATACCATGTCTGACATATATTATTAATTCAATGAATGGGAATTTCATGAATTAGTGTTTTTACTATTCAGTGGTGAAAGGGCACAGCCTCTCCTCTGAGGACTTCTAAGTCTAGTGGAAAAGATAAAAAGGTAAATAATTATAAGTCTGTGAAGCAGTGTGCAGAGCTGTGCTTATCTCAGGCCACAAGGATCCTTCATGCATAACTTAAGTCTTTTGTAGATAATCACCTCACACTTGGATTTGAGGTGAAGGAAAGCAAAACATACAGGTTGTCTGAAACTATACGTGACATGAACTGTCAGGTCCTGGACAGTTGTGTATTTTTATTTTGATGAAGTCATGTTTTTTTCTAAGAAAAAACTATTTCCTGGTCTTGAATTAATTATGTTAATTCCCTTGGGCTGAGGATATATGGCCTGTAACAAATTAGGGCCTTGGAGGGCCAAGACTGCATTACATGGTAGAAAGAAAAAATAATGTAGTTCTGTAAGAGAAAGGTGAAAGCCTTCCTGCTCCTCACCCCTCCTCTGACTACAGAAGTTCACACCTTCCCTCCCACAATGGTTAACAGTGCTTATCTGCTTGGAAACATTCCACAACTACCTGGGCCAGGTTTGTTAGTGATCAGAGTCCCTGTGTGGGAGGAAGCCAGCACTCTGGGTGGGTATCATCCGTGTGCCCCTCCCGTCTACGTGGCTTGAGAGTGGGGACCAGGGTCCACTCTTTGCCTTCTGTGTCTTTGCTGGCCTGAGCATTCATGCTCCTATTCTTTCTGTTTCCTAATTGTACCCTCATCTTATCTGACCCTTCAGCAGCATGTGACACAGACTCTTGCTTTGGCTTCTAGAGCACCCCTTTTTTCTGTCTTCTTGCTAGCTCATGTCCACTCCTTCTCAGTCATCTCTGTTGGGTCTTCCTCATTTCTCTGACATATATTCAAATTAGCCAAAGTCAATTCCAAGACCTCATCTGTTTTCTGTCTCTAATCATCCTATTCTTATGGATTTAAATACTACCTATATATTTGATGATGCTAGCATTAGTTTTCCATTGCTCTGTAACCAAATACATAAACTTAGTGGCTTTAAAAAAACACTAATTATCTTTCACTTCTTTAGGTTAGAAATTTGACAGGGCCCCATGGGGCTAAAATAACCTGTCAGCAGGGCTGCATTCCTTTCTGGAGGCTGTAGGGGAGGATCCTTTTTTCTTTTTACGTTTTTTTCTTTTTATTTTAGTTGTTGTTCAAGTACAGTTTTCTGTCTTTTACTCCCTTCCCAGCCCACCCCCCACAAGCCCCCCCCATCTCATTACCACCCCACCCTAGTTTTTGTCCATGTGTCTTTTATACATGTTCCTGTGAACCCTTCCCCTTTTCCCCTGAAATTCCCTCCCCTCTCCCCTCTGGACACTGTCAGCCTGTTCTCTATTTCAGTGTGTCTTTGGTTATATTTTGCTTGTTTGATTGTTTCGTTGTTTAGGTTCCTGTTAAAGGTGAGATCATGTGGTATTTGTCTTTCACTGACTGGCTTATTTCACTTAGCATAATGCTCTCCAGTTCCATCCATGCTGTTGCAAAGGGTAGGAGCTCCTTCTTTCTGCTGCATAGGATTCCATAGTGTAAATGTACCATGTTTTTTTTATCCATTCATTTACTGATGGGCACCCAAGGGACATAAAGAAAAGAGTGAACAAATGGGATCTCATCAAAACAAAAAGCTTCTGCATGGCTAAAGAAAATAGTACTAAAATAAAAAGAGAACCAACTGTATGGGAAAACATATTTGCCAATGATACCTCAGACAAGGGTTTAATATCCAAAATATATAAAGAACTCACATGACTCCACTCTAAGAAGACAAGAAACCCAATTAAAAAATGGGCAAAGGACTTGAACATATACTTCTCCTTTTTTTCCTTTCTTTTACTTTTTCCCTTTTCAGCTTTTAGAGGCCTCCAGCATTTCTTAGTTTGTGGTTCCCTTCCCCTGTCTTTGAAGCCATCATCATCTTACCTCTCAGACCGACTTTCCTTCCTTCCTTCCTTCCTTCCTTCCTTCCTTCCTTCCTTCCTTCCTTCCTTCCTTCCTTCCTTCCTTCCTTCCTTCCTCTCTAACCCCTTCCTTCCTTCCCTCCCTCCCTCCCTCCTTCCTCCCTCCCTCCCTCCCTCCCTTCCTTCCTTCCTCAGCTCTGTCTTTCACTACAGCTGAAGAAAGGTCTCTGCTTTTAATAACCTTATTAGATTGAGCTCACTCCTATAATCTGGCATAATCTCCTCATGTTAAAAGCCATACTTTAATCACATCTGTAGTGGTTTTTTTTTTGCTATGTCAGGTAAAATATCCACAGGTTCTGAGGATTAGGTCACAGACATCTTTGGGGGGAATGTTCTGTCTGCCACAATGCCCAGATATGTCTCCTGCCTAGACCATTCTCCCAAACTCCAGACCTATATATTCAACCACCGATTTGACATCTCTATTTGGATGTATACAAGCTCAAACCACATTTGTTCAACTGTGCAACTTTCCCAAAACTTTTCTTATTGTGTCAGTTGATGGAACCACCCTATTGCTCAGGCCCAAACCCTAAGGATTTTCTGTGACTCCTTCTCCTTTGCACCTATGTCTAGTCCTTCATCAACTCCCAATGGCTCTACTTTTACAGATACCAAAATGTGACTGCTTCTCACCTCCTTCACTGCTATCACCCCGTCTTCACCACTGTTTCCTCCCCTCCGGATTACAAGTGCTTCCTGATTTGTTTCTGTGTGGCTAAGCCTTGCTCCCCTCCCTTCTGTACAGCCAGAGTGATCCTAGTAAAACATAAAACGGGTAAAGTCATTCCTCTTTCCAAAAATCACAGATGATTTACCGTATCATTTACAGTAAAAGCCCAAGCACTTAATTAAGGTCCCAGGTGCTCTGTCCCCTTCGACCTTTACATTACTTCTTTAACCTCTCCTTTCTTCACCTTGGTCATTCCACTCCAGCCATGGTAACCTCCTTAATGTTCACAAATATTCAAAGCATGTTTATACCTTAGGATCTTCATACAAGCTGTTTTCTCTGCCAGGAAATCTCATCTCCCAGAAATCCACACGGCTCGTTCTCTCACTTCAAGTGTTTGCTCAGATGTTACCTTCCCAGTGGGGTCCACACTGAAAACCTTTATTTAAAATTGTATCTTTCTAGCCCTGGCTGGTGTGGCTTAGTTGATTGGAATGTAGTCCCATAAACTAAAAGGTTACCAGTTTGATTCCTGCTCAGTGTACATGCCTAATTGTGGATTCAGTTCTCGGTCTGGGCATGTGCAAGAGACAACAGATCAATATTTTTCTCTCACATTGATGATTCCCTCCCTCCCTCTCTCCTTCCCCTCTCCCTAAAACCAATAAAGCATGTCCTCAGGTGAGGATAAAAAAATAAAGTAAGATTGTATCTCCTTCTCCATTGCCATTTCCTGCTTTGTTTTCTTGTACTTTATAATTTACTTATTTATCTTATGGTCTATTTTTCCTCCATTTAAAAGTGAACTCCACCAAGGCAATTTATTTCTCTTTTGTTCACTGTTGTATCCCCAGTACCAATAAAAGTGTT